CCATTTCATCTTTGAATTCAAAAAATTTTCGTCCTCTACCTGTTTTATTCTGATTATCTACGAACTTTTTGTATCCCCTTTCCAATACACGCCATTTATTTTCACAATGCGACGGGGACACATTTATATGTAAATTTTTATTTATTTCCTTGGCTATAATCTCCCATAATTTTTTTAAATTTCTTATTTGGAGAGTTCCAACCTTAGGTTTATATTTCTTATATAAATCTATTAATACTTTAGACTGATTGGTGGTCCAGACCACATAGTCTACAGTTTTAACACTACTATCTTCAACATGGTTTTCATGGTAAATAATAATTTCTTCCATATCTAAAACAAATTAGTATTTATTATAGGTAACTGCATGATAATAATAATTATAAAGATTTACCTTCCTCATTGTTTTCCATTTTAAAGAAGAAACAATTTACTTTGTTACAGCGAATAAAATAACACAAAATTTGTTTATTTAATATAGGCAACTTGCCAGCTCGATAGGATATTGTTCCAACAAAAATCACAAACTAGTTCGCGGCTGGTTAAATTCGCACATGCGTATTGTGCAGCAGTCAGAAACTGCCCTGAACTAGTTTCTGATTCTTTGTAGGAACAAACCTAATAAAAACTTTCTCTCTTTGTATTTGAAGCATATAACATATATACATTATAAGGACATGGCAACACTGCCAACGCAATATTTCGTTCTGTGAAAATTAATTGACAGGTAGTTGAGGCTATCTTTATCGGGACCAAATGTGAAAAATTTCTGCTAAATTTAATAATAATCATTGAACTTAAATTATGTTGATTATTTTGAAGCAACAAGATAAAAAAAATTGAGAGACGTAAAGACACATTTTAATTCTACTACTAATTATGCAACTAACAATACATACAACAGTATGGAAACCGTAAGCTTAACGCCTTAAAAGGTCTATTGTGACAAATGAATGTCGCTGAATATCTGAAAACCAAATATGTGTCTCTACAAAGATCTGTCTTTCTGTTACCGGGCATAAAATCGGCAATTTAATCGAAGTTCTTTTTTAACATATTCCTGTACTAGTTTCCAAATTGAACACCAAATGTAATCCTTCTAATTTTTTGACATTTTCATCAGCTGATTGACTAACACGGTGGCATAAATCAA